CCAACCTAAAAGCGATGGCCTCCAACGTAAAAGCGATGGCCTCCAACGTAAAAGCGATGGCCTCCAACCTAATAGCGATGGCCTCCAACGTAATAGCGACTTCCTAGCGGAATAAGGAGAAAGATGTGTTTCTTCTTTCGAGGATCGATGTGGACCGTCGCCCTGGCGCCTTGTGCTTTGACCCTTTCTCCTTCGCGGCCAACTCCACGCACCACTTCCGGGTCACAGCGGGCTACGCCAACTCCAAGGCGAGGGCAAAGAGCTGCGAAGCGGTGAAAAGTGAGGCCAGGAGCCCTGTTCGTAGCGTCCTTGCTCGGAAAGACATCCAATTGTTTTGGTAGCTATCTACTTTCGACAGGAATTGGGGAGGTTTCTCAATCTTGCACTCCGAGAAGCAGACGCTTCAGAAAAAGGGAGGGAGGGACATGTTTGATGGGACATGATGCCACTTGAGCCACCCAAACTATGCCATAAGCTTCAAGCCTGCTAACTTCCCAGCTGCCTTTACTTCCCACTGCCTCCCAGTTGAGGACTTACCACACCATACAACGACATCGGAGCATGTAAAGAGGCAAAACCACAAGCAGAGGCTACTAAGAACTTACAAGGGCATAGGAACATGTAAAGACGCAAATACACTGACGCAAAGGTACTCACAACTTACAACGACCGCAGTTTGTAAAGAAGAACACTACGACAAAACATAGATTACTGAACACAGAACATTACATCGGAGCATGTGAAAAGACAGAAACAGAATAACACAGACAACTAAGAACGCTGGGAAAACAGAGACTATGAAGAACTTACAACGACAGCAGAGCATGCAAAGAGACAAAACGGCAAGACATAGACTAGTCAAGACTTACAAAAACATCGGAGCATGTAAAAAGGCAAAAGCTTAAAAACTCAGGGACTCAGGCTACTCAGAACTTACAGGGGCATCGGAGCTTGTAAAGAAAGAAAGTACGCAATGCAAAGACACTATATAGGGTTTTACAACAACATCGAAGCATGAAAACACCTGCAAATCATAGACTGCTGAGAACTTACAACGGATATATATATATATATGCAAAGCGGCAGAACCTGATATACTTCGAAGTCACAACGACATCGGAGCAGGTATAGCCGCAAAGCCAGCAAATCACAGACTAGTGAGAACTTGCAACAACATCGGAAAATGTAAACAATCAAAACATAAACTAGAAAGGCCTTACAACAACATCGGAGCATGTGAAGGGTGGACATTGGCAAGATAAGAACTTAGAGCGACCTCAAACCATATAAATTTAACAAAAAAGGACACATATAGTAGCACGAAGCTACTAGTAGCTCCTGGCACTACTACTAGTAGCAAGAAGCTGCTAGGGTGGAGGCCATGGCTATTAGGTTGGAGGCCACTACTACTAGTAGCAAGAAGCTTCTAGTAACAAAGGCATCGCTACTAGGGCTGCTCAGGAGCATCCAAAGAGAAAATGACCTTGCAACGCTATGGGATCAACCTGCAAAAGGGAAGAACCTGCAAGACATAGACTCCTCAGACTTTATATCAACATCAGAGCATGTAAAGAGAAAAACACCGACAAGACATAAACTCCTCAGATTTTACATCAACGTCAGAACATGTAAAGAGAACAACACCGACAAGACATAAACTGCTAAGACTTTACAGCAACATCAGAACATGTAAAGAAAACAACACCAACAGAACATAAACATCAGAACATGTAAAGAGAAAAACACCGACAAGTCATAGACTCCTCAGATTTTACATCAAAATCAGAACATGCACCGACAAGACATAGACTCCTGAGATTCTACATCAGCATCAGAACATGGAAAGAGAAAAAGCACCGGCAGGACATAAACTCCTCAGATCTTACATCAACATCAGACCATGTAAAGAAAAAAGTAGACACTGACAAGGCATAGTTTAAAGGCCATGTCTCTGACCTAATAGTCATGGCCTCCAACCTAAGAGTAGTTAGGAACCACATGAAGTGCTCCCAAGGCCATGGTGCGGGGTTGGCAGTCACTATCGTCACCATTTTGGTTGGCATCATACGTTTTCACATCTTTCAAGAGAGATCCCGTAATTGTAGCCGCAAACGCGGAGAGCTACGGCACGCCACATCAAGTGAACATGCTACAGAAGACGCGTTTCGGCTTCGCCTTCATTCCTGGAATTTCTTGAACCTGCCGAATGATACCATGCTGGGTGACAGCCAAACGGTGGCAACCACTGGACGTTGTTTGAAACTGATTCACATACCGAAGAATGCTGGCTCTGCCATTGAGGGTCTTGGGGCCCGACTGAAGTATGCTTGGGGCCTTCATGATCATTCGTTGCATTGTCTCAATGCATCCCAGTGCACACAGACAGTTCCTGTCCGCAGACTGTGCTGTTGGCCAAACAACGTCACAGCTTGCAGTGTTTGGCACTATCCACCAAGTATGGATGAAGAACTGGCGCGAGACTATGCAAACTGCTCCACCTTCTGCGTGGTGCGAGATCCCCTCCGTCGCTTCGTCAGCGAGTATTTCTACATTTCCAGGCATCGGCGCACGCCAGGACCGTTGTGCAATCAGCGGATGTTTGAGGAATATGCCAATGCGACGTTGCAGCGTCTCATGGAAGACCCTTGGATCGACGACTGCCACCATGTGCCGCAAGCGTATTACTTGACCTCCTTCACTGGCCGGCGCTTGTGTGATCACATTGTTCGTTACAAAAACTTGCAAGAGGAGCTGAGCAAGGTCTTGAAGTTCTACCGCGATGTGGATGTGCGGGAGACAAAGCTTCCTGCGGGCGTGAACTCGGTGCCGGGCCGCTGCAAACTGGAGAACCTCTCAGTGTCCGAAGAGTTGCAGCAACGTTTGCGCGACTTCTTCCACTTGGACTATGAGTTGGGATTAGGCAGCTGAGCCCACCTGAGAGATGGGACTGTGGAAAGAACCAAAAATGCTGCGGGAGAGGAAATAAGGCAAAATGGCAAGACTGGGCCGTCCAAGGCACGAGGAAAAGCAAGGAAAAAGAAGGAAAAAGAAGGAAAAAGAAGGAAAAAGGAATGCTTGCGGCTGACCGGTCGTGCGCGACCGTCGTCAGGCCGCAAGTAAGGATGGAAAAAGAACCGAGAGGGGACAGTTGTCACGATGGCCAAGCTGTCTGAGTGATTGTTCGCGGCCACTACCCATCTCTTTGGCAGTTCAGTTGAAATGATTGCCCGGTGAGTCTTTTTAAACAGGATGGCCTGGTTAAGAAGAATGGTGTAACGCCTAGGCCGCCTAGTAGCTACTGGATAGCTTGATAGCTTCTTACCTCCTATTTAGCTACCACCTCTTAGAGGCCTACCCACTATGTATATATATATATGTTGGATATATGTGTATATGTATATACATGATAGACGAGGACGAAAGTTTAGGCCATTGTTTCCGCGTTTCTCACCCCAAGGCCACGCAGTACAACTTTAGCCTTTCCGTGGCAGCAGCCCCTCCTGTGGTGCGGCTGGTGGCACCCAGCAGTGTCTCCACAGAGTGCAACTTCGGTGGCTCGGCAGGTGAAGGAAAGACGGTAGTAGCTTCTTGCTCCTAGTAGCGATGCCCTTCTCCTATTAGTAAGGCCAGGAGCCGGAGGCCATATATAAGGTTGAATGCTTCGAGTTCTTTCGATCTCTCATTGCCACCGGAATAAAGGGAATATAGAAGGTAATATAAAGAAAAAAGTTTTTCTTCAGAGGAACTTTGAATCTTCAAAAAAAAAGAAAACAAGACAATAAGAACTTTTGAAAAAAGAATAGAACGTGTTCCTTCTTGAGAGGAACGCCAAATCTTCAAAGATGATGGAATAAAAGGGAGCGGGCTAAAAGAAAAAGTGTGCCATTCGCTCGATCCATCGGTTCTCGCACACCAGGCTTGAATGCTTCGAGTTCTTTCGATCCCTCATTGCCACCGGGTACATTTGCCGATCTGGCAGCTTGGCAACAGCAACCGGCTGAAAGAACGCTGCAAACGAACTCGAATTCTGCTAGGCTCGGGTTTGAGAATGAAACAAGCAACTATAGAAGCTTGAAACAAAAGAAAAGCCATTTGCTGCGTTCGTCCGACTATTGTCCTACAATCCCTTTCCCAAAAACAAGCTGGAACCCTGATAAGGGTTAAATTGCTGCACCTTGTCCACCGTGTGTTTGTGTGTGTTTACCGGCACGTCACAGAGGAAGCTTCACGACAGTAGGGATGGTCAATGTACATTTGTGGCACTTGTCTTTCAAAAGAAGGAATGGTCTGAAGGTCTAAAGAACAAAATGAAGAACTAGGCATTTCCCGAATGCATAGCGAAGGGTTCTCGTTTAACTCTGGGGGTCTGGGGGTAGAGCGTTCGCGACTCGTGGTCTGAGCGTTCGCCGCCGACTGTTCGCGGTAGGGCGCTAAGGCGATGACATTGGGGGAAGGTTTTGTATGGAAGGATGACATGTCAGATTCGTGTGAAATAGCCAGGAAACGTGTGGAAACGTAAGCTGTTGAAGTGTGGAGGATCATTTCACTGCGCAGGCGCAGAGTTTGGTGAGACGGTGAGTTTTCTGCGCAGTCGCAGTGGGATTGGCGTTTGGAGAGTGGTGTTTTTGGGGTGTTGGATGTGGCTGCGACATTGGGGTTGGCTTTTCAGGGTGTTGCATCGAAGCCATCGAAGCTGTGCTTTCGTGGCAAGTCTCAGCTGAAACTGCAATTTTGGTGGATGGGAGCGTGCTCAGAACGTGTCGAAGTCATTCCAGGTGTGTGGTGTGGTGCAAATTTTGCTGAAGCTCACATGATATGATACTGTCAGATGCAGCACTTTGTGCAGGCTTTGAGGTGTGGAAGTTACAAGAGTTTTCCACAAGAGTGCCCCGCAAGAGTGTCCCACAAGAGTGACCTGCGAGTTCCGCAAGAGTGTCCTACAAGAGTGTTCCGCAAGAGTGTCCCAGAAGAGTGAGTGTCATACAAGGTGTCCCACAAGAGCGCACAAGAGTGTCCCCCAAAGGTTTCCGAAAAGAATGTGTCCTACAAGAGTGTCCCACAAAAGTGTCTCCTACAAGAGTGCCTAAAATTGTTTGAATGCTTGTTTTCGAGTACGTGTTTGCATTCGGGTTCGTGGTTTCCATCTTGTTTTTAACAAAGTCAATCATGCAGGAACCATGGGATTTCACCAAGGCCTACCGGTGGAGCTGCGTGGACCAAGCTGGTGGTGACTGTGGACTCCCCGGATCCACTGGTGCACAGCTTGACATCACAGGTGCGGGGTGTCGTTTTAGGCCGTCTTAGGCCTTCTGCCTTCTGCTCCCATAGAAACAAGAAGCTACTAGCAACAAGAACGCAATTAGTAACAAAGGGCATTTGTACTAGGAGCAAGGACGCTACTAGCAGCCAGCATAGAAAGGAGCAAAGAAGAGAACCAAAGTGCAAAACATAACTTTGTTTCAGGGGATACGACTCAGACACCAAGGCCAAGACCAAATTGTCATCAAGAAAACATCTGAAACCGAAGAGAAAAACTGAAGTGTCCCTGAAAATCCAGGAGCCAAATCATCATAATTATAGTGTTCACGTTTCTTCAAGGAAGCGTCAGCAATCCTGCGTTCTAGCCAGGAGTTTTTTTTTTTGTTTCTAGTTTACTCCCTTGCTTGAAAGAATGACATGTATGTGATCGAATGCCAAGAGAAACCACGCCACTGCAACTGGGAGTGACATGCAGTGAGACCGACCTAGCGTGTACCTCGCGTGTAGCATTCGAACCCGATTCTTGTTTGGCTGACTTGATAACCACCTGTGAGTTCGAAAGAACATGAGTTGTTTCAAAAGGTCGGAATCCCTTTTTGTAGTAGCGTCCTTGTTCCTAGTAGCGATGCCCTTTGCTCCTAGTAGTTTCTTGTTACTACTAGTAAGGCACTTGTTACTAGAAGCGATGCCCTTGTTCCTAGTAGCTACTTAGCTACTTGTTTCAAAAGGTCGGAATATCATTTTTAGTCTGGAGATGTGTTTTTGCGCTTGGAGAAAAATCAGATGAGGTAGCCCTAGTCTGTAGCTCGAGACCTCACATCGTTTTGATGACTTTCTGCGTTTATTTCGGTGTTGGACAACGCTGAAAGGCAATCAATTGGACGCAGGCATGTACAACTTCAGCGTTCCTTGTCACATCTTGCAAGTACTTGACAGCTGCGATGCCCAGCTCTGTACGAAAGAACACCAGATTGCCTGAACGAGAGAAAGAGACAGAAAAAGAAACGACAGAACACATTGAATTGGTTTTAGAACAGAATGCTACTACATGGCCTTCGGTCTTCAATTGAGCAGGAATGTCTTCAAGGCCTTCCTTCCTTGCAATGGCCTCCAACCCAAGAGTGATGGCCTCCAACCTACAAGGCCTTAAAGCATTTCCAAACAGCTCAGGGGCTCACCGAACACTTGCTCACGGAAGCCAATGCTTCCACCAAGCTCAGGTTCAGGTGAGCCGAGGAGCAAATGCCGCCGGGCTGAGCGCAATGCGACGCAATGCGACGCAATGCGACGCAATGCGATGTTCCGTTTGTAGGTAAGAATGCTCCGTTCGTAGCGATGCCAGTTTCGCCCTCATCGTAGCGTCCGATCGCTCCTCGTAGCGATGCCCTTTGTAGCGATGCCGTAGCTTATGAAGCCACAGGTGTGTCTCTTTTCATGAGGTTCAGTTGCTACATTGAAAGACACAACCAATTTCCTCAGCATTCGAGTCACTGTAAAACGGTTTTCACCGCCCCTCATTCCAGATTGTGTGCCCTGAGGTAGCAGAAGCCTTGTGGCAGCTCCAGGTGAGCAGTGGCAATCGTTCTGTGCCAGTGGCCTTCGCCATGCCCTTCAGCAGCGGCGAGGTGAGGAAGAAGCATTAGACAAATGTTCACGCTTCTTTCAAGTCACAGAAGTCAAACATTCTTTCAAGTGCATTTTGCACCCCATAGGCTGTTTCCACGCAAGTGGGCCTTCGTGGGGCGGTGAGAGCCTACGTGCAAACCAGCACTGGCTGCTTTGTGCCGGATGGCTGGGCATGGAGCTTCGCTTTGGCAGAACCTGGGCGACAAGACTTGGACGTCACTTGATGTTGTTGTTTTTTGTCTTTAGACTACCCTTAGGAAAAGTGCGTTCCTTTGGAAAATTCACAGCTTTTTCCATCCTTGGACAGCCTTTTTTCTTCGAGCTACATCTTTGTGCAAAACCAAAGGCGAAAACAAGACCGAGTGTTTCAATCATGGTCGGTGTCCAAGGAGGAAAGCGGTTCCTTCTTGTCTTTTTTAAAGACAAGCTCCGTGGTGGACGCTGATGGGCTCACTCTCTCCTCATCCGATTTTCCGGGCTCGGCCTTAATCCCAGGCTGGCCGTCGCCCGTCAAACTCACAACGGTACCTAAGAGCAATGGCCTCCAACCAAATAGCGATGCTCCACCCTGGTAGCGATGGCCTCCACCCTAGCAGCGATGGCCGCTAACCAAATCGCCATGGCCTCCAGCCTCGTAGCAGCGATGGCCTCCAACGAAATAGCGATGACCTCCAACTAAATAGCGATGGCCTCCACCCATAGCTCCAACCGCGTTCCAAAACAAGAGCACGCACGTTCTTGTAATTCTAGCTCTAATGCTAATTTGTAATTTAATTGATTCTAATTCAAATCTTCTTTTAATTTAATGTAATTCTAATTTTTTTCTACCAAGCTCCCTCCACATTTCATTCGAAAGAAGCACTGCACCTGATGCAGGGCGGCGCTATGTCTATTGGATGTTACAGATGGAGACGCAGGACGCTTGCAGAATAGAAGAAGTCTATTGAGGTCATCGTAGTGTTTTGGTGCAACCCTCCTACATACACATCATCAACTGTTTGATTCGAAAAAGACGTCGAAGTGATCATGAAAGCA